TACAAAAATATTTAAAATTTGAAAAATCTTACATTACAGCTTAACAATTGGAAATTTTATGTTTCTTTCTCATGTTGCACCGAATATCACATGTGTAAAATTGATTTCAATGCTTATCTGCTTAATCTTAAATTAAATAATTTTAGAAAATCATGGAACTCTCAGAAGTTCGTAAAAAGTACTAATTAGCCGTTTTGTCTACTTGAATAATTTTCGTGTTGAAGTTTTTGCAAGACTTCGTTACGAAATCCGAATCTACCTAGGGACGATGTATTAAAAATTCAAAGAATAAGATTGAACACTTGCTATCTATTCTTCGCGTGCATGCACACTGTTAGTTGAATAAAAAATTTATCATTTCATTACTTCGAAGTAGCTCGATGTTGATTCACGTAGCTACTCGAAAGTGTGAAATCATCCAGCGTATAACGTAAGGTTAAATCAGAAACATCGCATTTAATTTTAATTTAATTCTCTTGTAACGTTCGAATATTTTACTATCACGCAAATACTATTATTGTTTTCATCCATGAAGTTGTATGTATCTAACGAGATAATTTATTATAATTTAAAAAAGAAAACGAAATAGTTGAAATATAATATTAATTAAACAAATAAATAATAATTGACAGATGTCACTATAAGAAGTCCCTCGTTTATATATTAATAAAATTAAAATAAAATTCACCGATGTATAATGAAAATTTGCATATAACACATAATATAGTTGAATTAATATTATCAGTGAAATTTCAAGAATGGCACATTATAAATTATCAATGCTAAGAAACATTGTCTGACATGAAATTGTATATTGGTCCCTTTATGATTTCTATATTCCTGACAGAAGTATTTAGGCTAGTCATTCCACCTTTATTAACTATAGATATAGACACATTAAGACATGTTTATGTTAGCATAATTATTACCTACATGATGAAAATTTTTACTCTAAAAGAATTAAAGAATTATGTCTTGGAATATATCTAATAAATGACATGTAGAAGCAGTATTTATAAATAAGATTATTTAATTCTTGATATTTTCAAATATAAATGACGTATATATGTATTCAAATATATATGTATATATACAATATATATACAATATAATAAGTATATATATATGATATATGTATATATATATAAACATATGTATTTGAAAACATATATTTTCAAATATATATATATGCCCCTCTGATATTTCACTTATTGAAATTCCTTATGGAATAATTCTGGTAACAGTATGCATATTTTGTAATGAACGTTATTTAATGTAGAACGTTACATAAATGTAGTAAAAGATCAGTAGATTTCAATTTATTAATTCAATTTTAATCTCTAGCGAACGTTACATAAATGTAGTAAAAGATCAGTAGATTTCAATTTATTAATTCAATTTTAATCTCTAACCAAAGAATAACTTTCTTATTTTCATAACACATGTTGAATTCAATTAAATTAATTTACCTTTATTTCCATTTTTATCATTATAAACTTACTATAGTTTACCAAATTTTAGGAAAAACTTAAGTTTAAAATTTTTTTCATTAAATTACGAATTAGATTTTCGAAGAAAATATAAAACACATTTGGAGATTCATATTATTACTTCGTAATTTAACAGTGGGATGCCATAAATTCTCAAAGATAAATGTCACTTTTTCTTCATTTCGCGAATAGACATCACTAGAACTGTGAATTTTTATGCACTTGTAGAATATACATGATTTAAAAGAATATATAAAATGTCCAAAGTATAATATTTCCCACAACATTTGATTTGTAAAATAATTTTCTACCTAAATTCTACGTTTTTAATTGCATTCTCAAAATTATTATAACCTGCACAAATTTTTAGAAGAGATTTTTCTTTTTACATGTATTTATCTGCGTCTCAAAAAAAAAAACAAATTTCTAATTAAGTCATCATGAATCATTTTCAAAATTTTGTCATATCATATTTTACGATATATGGATGCTATTTTCTTAATTACTATTGATTTTAATTTAAAATAAAATTAAATTTGCAACATCGAAAGGATCGATGTAGTTACTTTAACATAGCAATTAATTCAACTGTTATAGGCGTCTTTAAGACGCGGATTTTCTCTCTCACATTTTACTTGGCAATCTGTAAAGTGGGATTCTCCATACAATTACAGCAGCCATTGCGGAACAGCAATTTCATCACATTTTTAACAACGCGATGGTCACGCTAATAGATAGAATATATCACACAGATAAGACGCACGATGTTCATTCAGCGGTCGCGTGACAACTTAACTTTCCCTAACCCCAATTTGAGGGGTTGCGCGTTCAACGGAATTCGTCGCAAGAAACGAACACCGAGCCACCGAGGGTGGGTTGGAAAAAGTGGAAAAAGCAAGATCTCGCAGCGTGATAATACACAAGGCGCATGAACGAGTTCGTGCATCTCAAAATTAAATTAAACCGATTAAAACGCTGCCTTCTGCTCGTAGCCGAGCTACGACCGAAAGGGACGAAAATGATTTTCATCTTGTTAATTAGGATGAAACTCGCGGGAATTCGCACGGTTCTAGATATGCATCGCGCAAACTTGAAGTATATCTCGCCGGTGGGCGTTGAAAGTGTCTGAAAACTTCTCTGTCCACGCCAGACAACAACGAACACGATGACCATGAAGACGTTGATTACGATGAGACGAGATACCACATTTATAACTACGTTTCATCGGACGAGAAATTGTGCGAGAAAAAATTTTGAAAATTTGTCAAGTTCCTTTTTGTTACTGTAACGTGATGTGATTTGCAAAGATTAAAGGAAGTATCGAATTTTTTTTTACGACGTTAAAGAGAATAAATTATTATCTTATTTTATCTTCTCCTTTCTTTTGACTCCTCTGTTTCTACCAATTCTATTACTCTTTTTTTTGTCAGTTTTGTAAATCAATCAAACTGAAGTATCAAGACGCGAGTTTATAAAGCAATCAATGTTAAATATAGAAGAATGGAAAACGCGAAAATTATTCAAAAGGATCTTGGATTTTCATGTTGTATGAAAGATGTGTCTATATAGTATTTCGTTGTATATTTTATTGTTTTGTTAATTTTTGTTATTTTGCTAAAATAAAAGATAAAAAAAGAGAT